TCAAGAGAAACGGTATCTTTCTGTTCGTCAAAGGTGTCCTTTTGATGTTGCTCGGTGCAACAACCGGATACTCGGATCGAGCTCTTCCCACAAAAGCTCGAGAGTTCAAGGGTTCAAGTTCGTTTACTGCACCGACACATTTAATTTCGACGTTAGCTTTTTTATTAAAAATACTAATGAGGTTAAAAAGTTATTAACAATTAAATTAAAAAATTTCAAATCGTTTTGGAAAAATTATTTTCGGTTGCGGGGGTCAATTACAATCATTTTTGGTGAATAGATAACCTTCGAAATTCTATTCACTTTCTAGAAAAAAATTCGAGAAGGTGTGAAATTTGCGGCGAAATTAAAAAATTTCAAATCGTTCTGAAAAAATTATTCTTAGCTAGGAGAGCTAATTACAATCATTTTTTGTAAATAGACCTACCCCCGAAATCCTACCCACTTTCTAAAAAAAAATTCGGGAAGATATGAAATTCTTCGACAAAATTCAAAAATTTCAAATCGTTCTGAAAAAATTATTTTCGGTTACAGGGGTCAATTACAATCATTTTTGGTGAATAGCCATACCCCCGAAATCCTACCCACTTTCGAGAAAAAAAATCGAGTAAGTGTTGAAATTTTTCGACGGAAAAAAAAAATGGCCGAACACTTTATATAACGCAAAACTAGTCTTTTCAGACAGCAACATAATTCAAACAATTAACGAGCATGGAAATACTAAAATTTCCAAAGTATAGTGTTCACAAGTGATGCAACAGCATGTTAACAAAGATAAAAAAAAAAATTGTAAAAATTCTTCATCAAAATTGTTGCAACGTCCGTGGAGATTGGGTTGCTCGTGTAATTGTTTCGTAACTGCGTAGCTCGTTCGCGGGGGTTGTGCACATGCTCGATATATCGACGTAATTGACGACAGTCGATATGGATGTGGGTATCCATAGACTGGTAAATATATTATCGTTGCTTGTCGGAAACTTTGTACCGCGAATTCGAAGGTCGTAGATCGATGAAACGAAATCAAGTCGTTACAGTGTTTTGTAATCTGCTTACCGTTTCCTTCAGCCTGCCTCTGTAAACGAGGGGAGCTCGCTTAAAATATCTTTCTATCTGTCCAGTCTTTCCATAAAATGAGAATAAAATGAGAATCGTTGTAGGTAGCTTTTATTCGCCAATTAGTCATTCTTGTTAATTTCATTGTATCTTTTCAGCTTTGTGCTCTTATCGATCGCGAACTCGCACGTTGTCAGTCTCGCGTTACATCGTGACGATAAAAATTAGTTTTAACCGCTATAGAAGTACGTTTCAAACGGCTAGGGATATTCTATAACGGGGTACGCGTCAAACACGCAACCCGATTCATTAAATTTTGCGGTACGCTGACCTTTTCATTACCAGTATTATTATTTGCTGAAAATATTAACTTTTCAGTAGCGGTAGGGTGCAAGGGAAATTCAATCGACACATTTTAACGCATCAATACGAAAAGAACAAAAGATGGATTTTATTTTGTATTTAATATACATATATGTCATCACGATTCATATAAAATTGACAGAAACTAGTACATATTGACACATATAAAAATCTAGGTGACAGAAATATTTTATTCGATGGTTCTAAATTTGCTGTAGTTAACTGTAACGCTAACGAAACTTAGCGTCGAGAAAACGATCCTGATAGCGGCCACCTGGCGGCAGAAATTTTAAACAAGGGGAATTTAATATAAGATCAATTAGAAGAAAATAACGTCGGGGGGGATAATTTTTCAATCTATCCTCGGGGCTGAGTTTAATGAAAATTTTAATTTTTATCGACGTCGTACGGAAAGTGGAACGATAAATTCAGGGTGATAAACGCGCGCGTTATTAAGGCCGAATACTCGTCAATACGTATACGCGTACAGTTTAAATGTATCTCTCCGACAACCGTGTACCTCGCACGCTAACTGCGCTATATTGTTTTATATCGATTTGCGATGGCCTCGTATAAAATTCTCACGTTCAGCTTCGCGTCTGAATAGAGTTCGCCGATGACGATCCCTACCGTCCTCTTAACACCGGAAGTACCGAAACAGTCACACAAAAATCGACGAAAGTAATTTTGTTCAAACTGATTTTTATTTTTCACGGCAAGGGATCATTTCAGTTCATAATTTTTTAACAAGGAATTATATAACTTCATTTTGTTAAAACTCCTCACACTCGTTTATCAATCTTCACAAAATACGTACAAAATTATTCAAAGTAAAATTTCAATAATTGGCCTCATTCAGAGTGTTTCAAAATATAGTAAAGAAATTCAACGTCTTATGGCTTCAGTCAATCTACACATTTGAAAAGCGAACAAAAATTCTTAATTAAAACTGATAACGCTTTCAAGTTTAATTAACGGTCTTTGAATGGTTTCCAAAAAGATACGTCTGAAATAAACTATTAAATTGATTGAAACTGAAAATACAGACGCTGATAAAACATGGTAATTTTTAATATAGACAAACGTTATTAAATTATTATTATGTATAAAGCAAAGTATTGCGAGTGGTACAATTTTCAGCCCATGTTAATCTTTAATATAGACAAAGCAAAGTATTGTGAGTGGTACAATTTTAACTTCTTTTGTATCGGCTAGCGACAAGGCCATTTTAGGAAAGGGTCAGAATAAAGCGTGTGTCGTTGGTGAGAAATCTTAGATCCCCACCGTCTGAGTTCAGCGGGCAGTTGTTTCAGGAGCAATTTCAGCGAGGTTTTCCGCGAGGGAGAGAGAAAGGCGGAAAATGGTGGCCAAGGAAGAAGGAAGGGCGGGTCGGCTGCAGGGGTTGCGCGCGCCTCCGCAGATCAATATTTCATTTCAGCCTCACCAGCCAAACCCCTATTTCTGCGCTCGTCTTCTCGATTCCGCCTATTGTATCCCGGGTAATTGCCTCTTTTTCTAGCCGCCGCTGTATCTAATTTCGCGTTCCCTTCGTCGACTTTTCTGGTCGGGGGCCCCCCCGTTCCGCGATTCGTATCTACCGCGTGAAACTTTTTCTCGCCCGATCGAAACGGTCGCGCCACACCGTTCCTGTATCGTCAGGGGTTCTCCGTTCCCCTCGAGAAATTGATCGAGGGGTTCGCCGAGCAACCGGGAAGACGAAGGTTTCTCCTCGTAGTGCCTACCTACGTGGTAACACGACGAATTGGCAGGGTGAAAGCTCCGCGAACGAGGAAATATCGAGCGTGGGCTTGCCCGATCGATACTGTAATTCAGCCTTACGTTCGTACGATTTTTCGTGACCGTCCGTGTGACGTAACGGGGAGTCCAACGTCTCTTTTTTGGAATTATCGTTAAAAAAAATTATTAAATTTATCTTGTTTAAGTTTATTCAATAATTATTTTATAACAATTATTGGTTAGAATTTCGAATCCCAGAAAGGTTATTTTTATTGAAAACTATATTTCATGTTGCATCTCGTTGTCAATGTTCATCCGTAATCTGTTATGCAACTTCTTGAGAAGCCAGAAGTAATACGGATTGTAGAGTTAATTCATCTCGATAAGAATATTGTATCTTTCGATCATCCAGATTGACGTACGGACGCGTTACTTATTTCCAAAATGATCCACAGGCGGGAGCCGGATGTCACGTGTCTCGACACGTGGCTCACGCGTCACGTTGAGGAGATTTGATTTTGCGCCGCGAGATGGTCATTTCCCGAAAACTTTTACGAATGCCAAACATAATTCGGAATAGTTTAAAATAAAAGTAGCACAGATGGCTAAAAATTCATTAAAGGTATGTTGGTAAAAATTCTCTCTCGTCTCTCCCGAGAAATTTAATAATCTCTAACGGTCGCTTGCGCGAAGCGAACACGCGAAGAATATTTATCATCTCGGATTATTCGAATTTCCTTGACTCACGAATCGTGCCAGTTGAACAGAAAATAAGTCACGAAGTCGTTCCTCGTTACGATCGATGTTCGAGGAAATGCAAATACTTTTTGCATCTCGTGTAAAATTTTCAGAATGTCCGGTCGAGCTGAACCTTGATATATCGTATGAATTTATCCGCAGACGTAACTTCGAGAATGGCAATTTCCCAGAAATATTACGAATAGCAAATGACGCCAATTAGCAAATATTTCGCTGGCCGGAGCTACAGATAGATGGTATAAACTGGAAGGAGGCAGGAAGTCGAGGGTAAAGGACCAAGACGGGTTAATTTTCCAACAGGATGACTGGGAATAAGTTCACGGGGAAGTAGGATGGTTCGAGAGGGATGGAAAGGAAAAAGAGAGACAGACGGTTAGATTTATTAGCCTGGGACATTTCATAAGGATATAGAATAATAATCGTTTTAGGGAAACTGTGACAGTTTACAATATTGTACGAGGCAGCCAGGCATCACGGTCTTCTGCTTCCAACGAGTCGTGATGTAAGATTTAAGTGCAATCTTTCACAGTGAAAATAGTCATTTTTTATTAGAATTCTTTTTAAAGCCAGTAATGAACAAATAAACTACGGTTTTATATTTCAAAGAGATTAACGTCCAGTTAGATTTTGTAGAGAATGTTGGAAAGACAAAGGTGACGGACGATTTTCAGTGCGAGCCACTGTCCTCTGTGAGTACTCGTAGGTACCGTCGTACAACTATTGCACGCTCTTTGAAGTTTACTATCAAGTACCATTGTAAGGTAATTAAATAGAGTGACGGAAGAAAAGAGGGTGGGCGTCGTGTGTATGCGACGGTTGCATGATAACGCGTATCACGTTTAAGCGCAGCGCTGCGTAACGTAGCGCAGTACGGCGCGTCGCGACGCATCGTGTCCCATGTCTGGTGTCCCGGGACAGCCGTGCGCCGCTGCCCCACCCAACCTCGTCGAGCCGGCCATGCTGGGCGAGCCGATCAATACTTCGGCTCCGGCACGAGGCGGGCCGAGGGATGCCGGCCGGTGTCGAGGATAGTCGAACGCGACCGAGTCCCGGCACGAGGCGCGCCGAGTCCCCACCACGAGCAGCGTTGCCGGCTCAGTCGCTGTGCGGGAGTGGTCACTGAGGGATGTGTGGTATCGTAACTGAGTGTGACTGAGGAAAAAGACCCGGCGTAGTTTCTCCGCGTAATACGGTCTCGCTCTTTACCCCCCCGGACAAAAAGGAACTAGCAATACCGAGAGTCTAGTCAGTTTTCGGACCCCCTTCCGTTGCCGCGCGAGACCACGGAATACGCTGATCGTGTATTTATTTAAGTATTTATTGTACAAAAGACTTTAACTATAGGTAAGGACTACGACGTTACGTTGTCGCATAGCTTTTTTATCTTCTATCTGTCTTCGTTCGCCGCCTTATCTGTCTATTATTTCTTATTTCCTCTCCGCCTCGCCGCCACCCCCCCCTCCGCCTAAGTTATTCTTTTTCACGCATGCTGCTACGCGGACGAATCGCTTCTATCGAACCGTTTCCCTTTACCCTGGTTTCCGACCACGGATATTCTTCGAGAATGTGCTGGAACTGTGCTCGCTTTCCGCGAATAATCAAAGTCGAACGACGATATCGATCTCTGCGGCATCGTACTGCGACGTAGAAGAACCCGAGTCCCCGTTGCGGTGTTCGCAATGACGCCGATTCGTTTCGCCGGAAGCAAGGAGGCGATCCGTTGCGTCGGTTTCTTTGTCCTCGGCTTGTACTCGTACGTATCCGCGCGGCGCGAATCGCTCGCGAACGCCTCGAGGACGGGGCGTGTTGGCCAAGAGAGAGTGTGTAGACGAGGAATTTCGCTCTCGCTTCGTGAAAGTAGCGCCGTGGCGCTCTATCTGGCTTCCTCCCGAGTCACGGCTACGAATTGCCCGACCATAACCTCAAATTTATTACCGACGAACGTACGAGACGGTATCTTCCTTTCGACAAATTCCACGCTCGACCTTCGGCTTGACAGCGAGAGCTCCCGGACTCCATCCTCCGCGAACGTTTCGAGCTTTGCACGGATTAAACGAACGTTTAACAAAGTTTTATTAAGTTAACGAGGACGCACACATGCCTGGCCAGTAATTTGCAACCGATTCGCGTAATTTTCGTTCGCCATTTCCTTCGCGTGTATCTCGCGAGTTATCGATTCCCCGTGATCCTCGATAGTACGCGAAAAAATAGTTATTAACGTTGACGCCGAACGCCTCGGTCGCCAGAGAAACCGAGTATTATCGAAACGAGTAACGTAACGCGATACGAATGTAGATAAAACGTGTCTCGTCTGATAAAATTGGTATTTTTATCGACAGTGATGTCACGTTTTCCTATCTCTACGACGTCTTTGCCTTACAAACGCTTTATTTCCCCCCGAGTAATGGCAATTAACATTATGCTTGATAACGTTTTTCGCAGTTCTGTGCGTGAACAGTGCGTCTGTCGATGAACTTGGCACGCGGTCCAACTCGAGATTCCTAAGGAGACGTTGAATCATAGGTATTTGTAATACGATGTCTGTGTCAGACTCGCTATATCTTTACGCGTCGAAAATTCTCGGGTTCGTAACGGTTTGTGCGCAGAGGGAGCACGCGTGCGAAATTGAAAGTGGCGTGAACCGTTCTCAAATACGAAATATCATTTTGTATTTTTAAACGAGCGCGACGGTACGCGCTCGTGACGCGGGGAAAGATAGTTTAGTCGAGGGAGTATACGCGGAAAGCAAATCGGCTGGCAACCCGAGTTCTCCTCGTCACGTTCCATTCGCAATCCGCTCGAAAAGTCTGCGCCGGAAATATTTCACTGGCAACGTGGGGTTTCTCATCGGTTCTCGTTGTAGATCCGGCAACACTGTCGCCGAGTCTCTGCTAACCTAAAGCCAGGTGATTGCGCGCGATTAAATATAGGACGTCGAATACACGTACCGGTTTAATATTTCTGTCCGGGTTTCGTCGCGCAAAGGAATCTCTGGCTGCTTTGGCCTTCCGTTTATCGTGTTGTCGCGTGCAATCTACTACGCACCGAATTGTCACGTAACAGTAAGTTATACGCGCGAAACGTAACGGACTTTCGTGGCGAATCGAACACGAACACGAACCCGAACCCGACGTTTCGGTCACTGTCGCGCGACCGATTCGAGCACAATGCCGGCGCCTATGCCGCTACCTGATAATTCCAATCGATCTAGGCTACGATCGCTCGGATTTTTATCGAACGGTGTCCATTTCAGTTGAAAAACTACGTGTGGAGTATAGCGAGATAGCCTTCCACCCAACATGTGACATAAACGCTTATCTAGATTAACGTATGAAGAGTTCTTGTAGAAAGTAGTGTAAGTGCCATGATAGAACAAAATTTGGTTAGTTTAAGTGCAATTTAATTTCATCAATAGTAAATAATCGAGTTTAATAATGGCATTGATTGACGCGAAGTACACAGGAAAGATAGTTCGAGGTCGACGGAAGATATTAGGACTTACTACGTTTCAAATAAATATTTTCGAAATACTTCTCCTCGGTATGCGTTCTCTTATCTTGCCAGCAAGTGCGTGTACTGCGTGTATCTCGAGAACGTGATGAATGCCATCGACCGGAAGCGCATACAATGAAACGCAATTATACCTCTTTTCTCGCCCCGTGCGCTTCGAGTGTCCGCTTAACCGTAGAATTTATTTAGAAGACGCCATTTTTTGGCCGCGATTACTAACCGCGCGCGATACCAACGATAACGTTTACTTTCGTTCGCGGCCGTCGGTGTCGCTGCTTGCACCGGTGCAACATTGTTGTTAGTGATAATTAAATTGTTATACAGAACAATTAAGCCAATGCTAGTGGCTTGGAAGACTAAAACGAAGTGAGTCGGTACAAACATATTATTTATGATAAACGTTTCGACCTTGGGTTCAGAACTTCAACGTGTCAGTGTTTTACAAACTGTGATCCGTGCACCTTCAGGTGTTCTCAAGCTCTTGGAGAAAAAGGAACCATATTATTTAGTGGAATTAAAAAATATACTTGTGGAAAGCAATAGTACTGAAAATTTTAACAATTTTAAAAATTTAACCAAGTATAGTATACAAGGTGTTTGGCTATTTCTGGGAAAAAATTTTAATGGGGTATTCTAGAGAGCAAAATAAGACGAAAATCAAGAACACCAATTTGTTGTTGGAGACTTGGTTAAAAGTTATTAACAATTAAATTTAAAAACTTCAAATCGTTCTGGAAAAATTATTTTCGGTTGCGGGGGTTAGTTATAATCATTTTTGGTGAATAGACATACCCCCGAAATCCTACGCATTTTCGAGAAAAAAATTCGAGTAGGTAGACAAATTTTTCGACAAAATTAAAAAATTTCAAATCGTTCTGCAAAAATTATTTTCAGTTGCAGAGGTCAATTACAACCATTTTTGGTGAATAGGCATATCCCCGAAATCCTACGTATTTTCGAGAAAAAAATTCGAGTATGTAGACAAATTTTTCGACAAAACTAAAAAATTTCAAATCGTTTTGGAAAAATTATTTTCGGTTGCGGGAGTCAATTCCAATCATTTTTAGTCATTACACATACCCTCGAAATCCTACGCATTTTCGAGAAAAAAATTCGTGTATCTAGACAAATTTTTCGACAAAATTAAAAAATTTCAAATCGTTCTGAAAAAATTATTTTCCGTTGCAGAGGTCAATTACAACCATTTTTGGTGAATAGGCATACCTCCGAAATCCTACGCATTTTCGAGAAAAAAATTCGAGGAGTAGACAAATTTTTCGACAACATTAAGAAATTTCAAATCGTTCTGAAAAAATTATTTTCAGTTGCAGAGGTCAATTACAATAATTTTCGGTCATTAGACCTACTCCCGAAATCCTACCCACTTTCTAGAAAAAAATTCGAGAAGGTGTGAAATTTTTAGACGGGAAAAAAAATTTCGAATCGTTTTGGAAAAATTATTTTCAATTGTGGGGGTCGATTGCAATCATTTTTGGTGAATAGACATACCCTCGAAATTCTACGCATTTTCGAGAAAAAAATTCAGTAAGGGCAGAACTTTAAACGTTAATAACTTTTTAACAAAGCCTCCACCAACAAATTGATATTCTTGATTTTCGTCTTATTTTAGTCTCTATAATCTCCCATTAAAATTACAAAAATCAAGTACAGGTTACCAGAAAAAATTATACCTCGCTTTGTCCAGATCTTGTCTTCGTGATATTCGAATAAATATTTACGCCGATGAAAGAACAGTTTTCCGAATGTCTTCAACACAGAATACTTGGTACATTGCGGGTTAAGTAGCGCAATACGCAACTCGGTAGAATTAATAACGAGAACACATGTACGGCACCGATATCGATCGTGTTCCAGCTTTTAAAGTTGGTCTTTGGACGCGACGGGAAATTATAGACTCCGTTCGTACATTTTAACCTCTGTATGTTCGCGATCTATCGCGGAATTCCAGCGATCGATAGCTATAATGCCGTCTAGGGCTAAAATGTATACTGATACGTTCCGTGAAACGATACCATTTTTTATCACGTTCCACCTCTTCGCCACTATTAAAAACTTTATATCGCCGTTGTTGCTCTAACGATGCAATGACGCACGACCCCCCCTCAATGGCTGTACAACCGAGATAATTTTAGAAATTCGCCGCGTCAGAAGTTGATTCGACATACGCGATAGTAGGTTACTACTACTTGCCACGAAAAATTAATGAATCGTTCGTTGCTTCCGTTCCGTTTCACGTAACGGAATCATAAGTTACCTTGGAGTTCCCTCCATTTGCACTGGAACGATATTTTTTACAACGAACAAATTAATATTTGACTGTTCGAAAGAATTGCTCTATTTCAATTGTAATACGTAAATAAATTCAATTTGTTCGGGGAGGGTGATCCGTTTAAAAGAGTTCAGAAACCCCTGGTTCATATCAATGTTTAATTCCTGTTTCTTCCGGTCACGGGATCCTCTGTAAACAACGCGGTTCTAGTCTACGTTTACTCTGGTAGTTTAATATCCGCAGGGGTAGATCGTTTTTCGGAAGTGCTCGAGTTTCAGGGAATCCCTTACACTTGGAAGCTCATCGTGCAACATTCGGGTCACTGATTCCGCTCAAATTCCGTTCATATTTGGCACCCATCTCTCATAACATTAATTTAACACTGCTAAAAATGTAAAATGTTCGAATAAAATCTCTCCCTTGCGAGTTTCAAAATTAAATATTTAGAGTAGCTCTGTTTTAATTAAAAGAAAAGTTAGATATTTCAGTGTTAATAACAATTGTTCATATAGGCTAACCTGACAAGCATTGAGAGTCTCACATC